GGGGGGGGGGAGGCGAGAAAAATAGAATTAAACATCAAAGATGATTGTTCTCGGGACAGCTTACACTATTCCCATATCTTATCTTCCCATCTTTCCCGCCTTCCGCCCCATTTCTCGCGACTTACCTGAGAGAAGGTGTCAGCCAGGACCATCAGGCCCCCCGTTTTCTCCACGCAGACCTTCATCTCCATCATTCCCACCTGAGGGATGGGGGTGGAAGGAGGGGGAAAGCGGAGAGGGAAGAGAAGGGGTCAATGTCGGGAGGCAACCGTGTCCGACTTCCGTCGGCCAGGGCAAGGGAGGTAGACATAGAATACCTGAAAAATGAAAAAGGAAGACAAAAGGGAAGGAGGGAAGAAAGGACGGAGGGAAGACAGCAAATAGAAATCGCACCTGGTCCAGGGAGCAGGCGAAGATGTCGATGACGTGAGAAGCCGCCACCGCCCTTTCAGCCAGAGAGGCGTAATGCTTGACAGCGGCTTTGTAGTGGGAAGCAGTGCCTTTGGCAAGGTCGGTGTGGGAGCCTGGAGGAAGGGTGGGCGGGGCAGGGAGGGAGCGGAAAGGTTGGAGGTGAGGGAGGGGAAGCAGAGGGAGAGAAGGGAAAAAGGGGAGGAATCGATGGGCGCTTCATGTCAGCCTCCCGAGAGAGATAGAGAAGGGGAGTGACGAATGTGACCGAATCAGTTAGGGTTAGGGTGGGGGGGAGGGAGAGAAAGAGGAAGGGAGGGAAAGAGAGACGTACGAATGTCTTCCGTCTTGGGTCGGCCCACTACCGTCCCGGGCCCCACAGTTGGCGGGCCGCCGGCAAAGAGCATGACGCGAGCCCCCTACGATGATGTAAAAATATACATATACACACACATATATATACATATATATATATATATATAGACACAAGAGAGGGATTAATTTAACAACTTTCCAAGGGGGAAGCTTTGGGGTGGCAATTCTCTCTGTTCGTCGCCGGGTGCCTGGGAAGGCCTTCGGAGGGGACCTTTCCCTCGACCCTCCCTTCCTTTTCTCCCCTTCTTCCTCCTCTCCTTGCTCTCCTGTAGATACCTGGCGCGGGAAAGAGGACTCCAAGAGCCCGGTCGCCACGGACAAGGCGACGCCGGTGCAGCGCTGCGGGCGTTGATCAGACTGAGAGGAGAGGAGGGAGGGGAGAAGGGAGGCAGGAATGAGATGGACAGGAGTGAGGAGGATGGTAGCGCAACGCCCCGGAGCAGGGAGACGGGTGGGGGATTAGAGACCGAGCGCGGGAGGGAGGAAGGGAGGGAGGGAGGGAGGGGTGTTACCGGCACGGGCCAAGAATCCCGCTGGAGGTCCTCCAGTATTTTCTCAAGGGTGAAGGAGCAGTCCGCAACCGTGCAGAGGAAGCGACCGAAGGCAGGAGTGCGTCCACCCATGGGGTCCGCTGCCATGCCTGAGGTAGTGGGGAAGGAACGGAGGGGAGACTTTCCACTGAATTTCATCCGCTCTCTTCCACTCGTCTCCGCCACCCTTGTCCCGTTGCCCACAGGCATCCTTCTCCCCCTCCCTCCCTTCGTTCCCCCCTCCTCTTCCCTTACCTGGCTGTCCCATCCCAGGCGCTTGCCCGCGCATGGGCGGAGCGATGTTTAGGAGGTCTTGCACGCGCTGAGGGACGTGGAAGGGGAGGGGGATCGATTACAGAACGGTACAGTATACTGTGGGGAGAGCTTTTGCGTTTCCCCCAACGCTTTGGACAGACGAACCGGCGCCGCTCGTGGCCTTTTCTCCTCGTGTCCTGTCCTCCCTCCCTCCCTCCCTCCCTCCCTCCCTCCC